GATCGGAGGTATGCTGCTTTTCCGTTCTTCAGATATCAAGAGGAAGGGAAAGCATGTAGACTGACATGCGCAGATACCGAATTACCAACACAGTTTCCCTTCTTCGGTATACGCGCCTCTCCTGACACATATCCATTCGTCGCAAACTACGTCTCCTCTCCCGCTGTTACACCTCTACCTCAGCTGCGTCTTCGACCGCCACCCTGCTCTCCGTCTCATACTCGCGCATCCGGGCGCGCTACCCTCGCTCATTCCACGCATCGAGATGCTGCTCACCACTATCCCCTCTGCAGATAAACCGAAGCGAAGTTTCCTAGATGTCTGGCAACACAACATCTACCTCACGACAGCGGACGCACAAGACATGTCGAGTCTGAGAGCGCTACTGGAACGCATACCCGTAGATAGGGTGTTGTATGCGAGTAACTACCCGCTTGAAGAAAGAGGGAAAGAGTTGATGGAGGAACTCAGGGAGAGCGGATTCTTGACGCAGGTAGAGTGGGATAGGGTGGCGTGGGGGAACGCAGAAACGGTGTTTAATTTGAAGGGGGCAAACATGAAGGCAGGGAGGAGGTAGTCTGTATCTGGAGACTGGGACGACCTAAATTGCAAGTAGCGAAGACGTAGAAAACAGTCACCTGGCATGCGCAAAGGTCATTGATAGCTCATTCCTGTGCATTCATGATATGTGTATATGAACGCCCTGCCAAGTCATGACTCTCAGCCTGTGGTATCTTTCATGTCAAATCGTCGTGGTTGCCGCACTGCCGTCTCTCGTCGCTTGCTCGCTCGCTCGTGGGTATGTCGGGCGCTTATTTCTTGCCGGACTTCTTGATGCCCTGGGAGCCGGTGTTGAGCGGTCCTTTGCCCTTGCCGACTGTCTTGGCTAGGTCCTCACGCTGCTTCTTCTCTGTATATCGTCAGCACATCTGTCTTTGTTCTTCGGAGCCTTGTGGTGGCGCTTCGGGACAGGTCGCAGTATAGGCGTCGGAGAACGAGGGGTAGGGCGGTACGCACCCGCAGCAAGCTTTTGCTTGTAGGCAAGGTCATCCTCGTCGAGCTCGACGGCCTTCTTCTTCTTCTGCTTGTTGTGGATGGGGTTTGTACCGGCTATGGTATTCTGTCAGCCTTGACCCCGCTTCAGTCTGCGCAAAGGTTATGGCGCTCACCTCCTTGTCCTGAAGGCATCTTGAAAAAATCGGTTGTCTTGGTAGCCCGGTCTTCGGTGTGTAGGTGAGAGAGTCGAGAGATTTGGTCGGGCGTCGAAAACGTTAGGCGGTCGCGGGCGGTGGGAAAGGGTCTCGATGCCCGAAAAAGTGGGATGCGCACAGCCACAGAGCTGTGGCGGAGGAGTGCACGTGATCGATCACGTGCTGGTCCCAGAGCTGGGGAATCTGGAGCTCATCTCAGCGCTGATGAGGCTCATCTAGCGACCCGGGATACCGCGGCATGTCATATGCACCTGTAACAGTTCATCACCGAAAACACATGCGCGTCGCGTGGTGTTGCCCGAGAACATCTTAGGGGCACATTGGCTTTAGGCTCGTTCGATCGTTGGCTCCCCGCGTACCCATCTCTGGAGGATGCGATATGATGGTCACCGCCCGCAACCAATGTGCCGACCCACCCGAACTCCACAGCTGGCTATCAAGCGATGTTCTCTAGCATGATTCATGTGATACCTACTCTCCGTTCTCTAGCATGATTCATGTGATACCTACTCTCCGTTCACAACATGAAGTCGTCTACAATGATCCGACACTCTCTCTCTCTACGACTCGACTGTGGCACCGGCGCCACACATTTACTTCTCGAGAACCACTCTCGCAGTTTTAAGCATCAATTAATCACAAAATAAGAGAGCCCAGGCGGCAGCCAAAAGCTTTGCTTCGCTGCGTCTCCCTTGTCTCTGACTTGGCATGCTTGCGTCCACGAGGAAATTCTACCCATTATCGACATTGTCGCCGGCAAACCTAGCTACCCACGGGCTAGATGGCGCACTAAACACCATCTCGGCATGAGTCGGTCTCGCTTCTCCTCAAAACAACGGCGCCTCAACACTTAGCTCGATTACGCCCATTCGTGGAAAAACTCCACGACGCCTCTCCGTCCATCAGATGGACAAAATCCTCCCATTGACACTCCCGTCCCAAGCCCCAGATTCCCCAGATTCAGGGACTACGGAGAACGAAGTGCTAGGCGTCGATGCATTTGGCACTAGAGCAAGCTTTGGAGGCGGTCTGGGCATGTTGATTCGTGGTGATATTCTGGATAGAGGCGTCTGGTAGCGGCGTAGGCATCGGATCCTGGGTGCTGGAACTGGCGCTTCCCCGAGCCCATGGGGTTGACATGGGGCAAGATAGTAATCCACAGGGTGGCTTCTCATGTGGCATGTATATATGCCCATCGCAGTCTCCTCTCATTGCTCTCCACTCCAGAGCTCTACAAATCTCTCGCTGTATCCGTTGCGGAATTCGAGCTGGACGCCTTTGTCAATCGCTACCAAGTCGAGCGCTATTGTTACTTTCGTTTTGGGAGAAATCCTGAGTGACTACCGTCAAGATGGTCGACAAAACTAGGGTGTACAACTGGTACATCTCGCTCGTTGCAGCATCGTGCATGGTGCTCTACGGTTACGATGCGTCCGTCTTCAACGCGTTGCAAAACTCGAAGCATTGGATTGCCTACTACAACAACCCCGGACCCAACATCATCGGCGCCATCAACACATCATACACAGTCGGTGCTGTCGTAGCTGGTTTCTTCATGGTACGTCACGTCTGTATATCATCAGTCCGCAAAACGCGTACTAACTTTACTGTGTATAGGCTGGACCCCTCGCTGATTTCGCTGGCCGTCGAGTTGGTATGGCTGCTGGATCTGTATGCGTCATCATCGCGACCATCATGCAAACATTCGCCCCTCGCGGACAAATCGGTGTCTTCATTGCTGGTCGTGTCCTCATCGGTATTGGACAAGGTCTCGCATTGACAGCTGGCTCTATCTACATCGGAGAGCTTTCGCCCCCTGAGATCCGTGGAAAGATCATGTCATTCTGGCAGATGTTCTATTCCGTTGGCTCCTTTATCGCATACTGGATCTCCTTCGGTACCTCCAAGAACCCCCAGAAACTTGGCGAGTGGGACTGGAAGATGGTAGTCATTTTCCAGATGATGGTGCCTATCCTGATCCTCTCCCAAGTTTTCTTCATCCCGGAGTCGCCCCGTTGGTACGTTCAGAAGAACCGCAACTACGAAAAGGCTCGCCGTTCGCTCCGCCGCGTCCGTGCCACCGAGCAGGATGTCGAAGATGAGATCACCACCATCCGCGAGGCTATCGAATTCGAAGCCGAAGCTATCTCCTCCGGCTTCTCTGCTCTGTGGAAGGACAAGTCTGTCAGGAAGCGCATGTACATTGCGATGATTGTCAATGGCGGCCAGCAGATCACTGGACAGGGCACACTCAACTCTTACAGCTCCATCATCTACAAGAAGGTCTTCACAAGCGCCGACACCATCTCCCTGATCAACGCCTTGAACGCTACATTCAGCATCATCTTCACGCTTAACGCTACCTGGACTGTCGATCGCTTTGGACGCAAGTTCCTGTTCATCGTCGGTGGTATTGGTATGGGCATTTGCATGCTCATCGCTGCCACTGTAGAGACACAGACACCTACCCTACCCAGCGGCGCAAAGTCGGAACCAGTTGGTATCGCGATCGTGTTCCTCATGTTCCTGTTCGCCCTCTTCTGTAAGTCACAACCTCTCAGTACCATCTCAACACGGACACGCACTAACAACCACCACAGACAAACCCTCCTGGGGCGCAACAGTATGGATCTTCACCGCCGAGATTTTCTCCATGAACATCCGCGCTCAAGCCGTGGGAATGTGCTCGCAAACCCAAAACGTCGTAAACTCCATCGTCCAGCAGTTCTTCCCCGTCTTCCTCAAGAACGAGGGCTTCTACGCTTTCTACATGTTCGCTGCCATCAACATGCTGCTAGCCGCATTTGTCTGGTTCTTCGTTCCCGAGACTAAGAAGGTTAGTCTCGAGGAGATGGATGCCATTTTTGGTGGTCAGAACCATGTTGTTGAAGGCGCGGCCATTGAGGAGAAGGACCCGGCAAGGCACCACAGTGTTGTTGTGGACAATGACGCCAAGGGTGCTACCGAGAGGGTCGAGAGGGCTTGAATTGACGATTGATGACTGTTGTTTATTATGCGGTTGGTCCTTATGCTGGGGGAGTCATATAGTACATGGTACTGCGATAGCGTACCAAGGTTTAATGCTAAATCTTCCAGCCCACCAACACCAGGGTTGCCTTATGAATTAAACGTCACATGTTTCTCTAGGAGATTTCTCTGCTACCATGGTCCGACTTGACATAGCCTTTTGCGCAGTATTCAATATGGCTCCCCAGAAAGTCTCTCTTCTCTTCCCCAACGTCACGACATTAGGCTTTCAACCCTTCACATAAACCGAAATGTCGAGCCCACGGAGAGCCGCAGACGCAGCTAGACCTCCCATTCAAAGAGCCAACACATCCATTCTCTCTCAAAGTCTAGCATCGATACCATCTTCACCAGCCCCCATCGCTGCGCCACCAAACACCTCCACAAGCAATCCACCACCGCATACACCATCTCCAAACCCAACCACCTCAGATCAATCCACAGCCCAGCCTCAAACTGAGCAAACTACCTCTGCCCCCGCCCCTGCACCACCAACTCAGGCCCCAAACCCAACCATCACAACCATCACAACCACCACAACCACCACAACCACCACAACCCCCGCACGCCCACCAGTCCCAATCTCCCAACTCCCCCACCGCCAACACACCCCATCCTGGCAACCAGTCGCCGCACGCATCCACCACCGCGACGACGACGTACACAGTTACTGTGCACCAGGAAGTAACGGGTGGGTAGAATGGCAAGAGCGACGGGTAGCAGACAGTCAGGCTGAGATTGGCAGGATATATTATAGCTGGGATGGAGGTGAGATTATTGATTATGCGGAGAGGACGAGGTTGAGGAAGTTGAGGAGGGTGAGGACGGCGGAGTGGATTGGTGGGTTGGGGGAGGGGCATGCGGAGGGTGAGAAGAAGGAGGGAGGGAGAGGGGGAGCGGAGGAGGGGGAGGAGGGTGGTGAGGAAGAGAAGGCGGATGCGGGGGATGGGGAAGAGAAGGCGAGTGTGGGCAATGGGAAAGAGAAGGCGAAAGTAGGAAATCGGGAAGAGATGGAGATACACGAGGAAGCGGAGATGCGGAATGGCATCAACGGAGCGGAGACAGACTCTGAGACAGATTCTGCTGAAACAGTAAAGGAGAAGGTCTGGAAGGGGAAAGAGAGGGCGGTAGAGCAGGACTCGGAAGGTTCATGTTCTAGTTGCCTGGAGGCGCAGGGGAAGATAGAGGAGCAAGAAGGCGATGTCCCAAAAGAGTGCAAGAGAGGGCAGAATGACGAAGACGAAGACGAAGACGAAGACGAAGACGAAGACGAAGATGAAATGTCACAGACAGGCTCAGACAAAGACCCTGAATGGTTAAGCAGTTGGAAACAGGTCGTGATGGCGTCTAGAGCACAGGTTGGCAGTCCTGCATATAGGGCAGCCGAGCAACGGCTCTCTGCTACTAGGCTCTCCTATCGTCGCGAGGACCAGATTAAAGCTTTGCGGCCTAGATCACATTGAATGAGCAAAGAAACGAGGATGCGGATGTATGTAGCCAGCAGAACAATGTATGACTATTAGCTGATACCTGATTCATGCTACCAACGATGAAGGACTGCCTGAGCAATCGCGAATACCAAGTTATTGGTGTGCGTCAAGATGAATAGCGAGGTAATGGACTAGTGGATCATGCTGGGTCTGCTACGTTATTGCGGGCGTCGTGAACCGAGGGCTTGTCTGGGTGGGTGTTGACCTATACATTAACATGATTAGCAGGACGAAATAAAGACCAAAGATCGGGTTGCTGCGTACAAATTCGCGTTCTCCACCTTCGGTCACGATCAACCGACCTTCATATCCCTCTAAACTCCCGTTGGTGCCGGTTCCATATCCGCCGTGATTCTCATCGACTTGGTCCAACACGAATGTTGTGATCATAGACGCATTGAAAACAACCTCGTTCACGACTTCGATCCATAGACCTGCGTGCAGAGTGCTTCTGGCGAAGATGAGAGTTCTGAGGGTGTCTTTGTGTCGGTCGATCAGTTCACACAGATCGCGCTCTTTGGCGTATATGCCTTCGAGCTTCAATGAGCGGAGCTTCGGCCATGTTGCCCCAAGGCCGATTAGATCGATGATAGAACGTCCTTCTGGAATGCTGGTCCCATCCCACATCAGCTCGTTAAGATACCTCCAATTCAGTATGCCAAAGGAGAGGTGCCGCAGCTCCTGGGCAGCCTCAAGGACTTTGGCGAGGTTCTCAAGCTGTCGTTCAGAGGAGTCCATCTCAGTCATAGGATGCGTTGTATGACTCGGTATGTTGAGGATAGATAAGCTTATGTCTAGCTTAACCAAATTTCGGAAGAGATGTCTCCCGGCGTTCAGATCGTTGGTGTCTGGGAAAGTGAACATTTTCAAAGAGAACTCAGTGCGACGATGGTCTTCGCGAGGTGCTTCGATGGTGAGCTGCCGGATTCCGGTGTAATCCGACAAAAAGATGGCGCCGATCAATTGGCGGAAGGGGTGGTCAGATTCAGTGGTGCGATTATCGGCGAGTGTGCGGGGAAGAGCTCCTCTTGGTAGCAGATCGCGCAGTGTCTTGACCTCCATAGGGATGGTGTGTTGATATGGCGAGTAAACGATGGACGAGATATTCTGCATGTTCTCAAGGCCTCGTGCGCATGATTGTAACAATACGCCGTCCTCCTTCATGCTCTCTTGCTCCTTGTGAAGCTCTTGGTATCTTTTCCACCTGGTTCGCATTGCGTAGAAGGATCCTGGTTGGAATTTGCCGCTAGCCTCTTCGGCTCGAGAGTAGTTGCGATGGTCTTTCGCGAGATGCCCATCGTATAGCGTTCCATCAAAGATGATCTCTCTTACATAGCCTGAGTATATCGAGTGTAGTGATACCTGTTCGTGTCATTAGCCCATATGCCCGTGCTCTATCTACTTGATATCAAACTGTGGTCTTGAGGCATACATGAGGCTAACATTGACTTCCTCATTACGAAAGATAATGCGGGTACCTCCAGGGTTCGTTTTGAACTTACGTTTTGGAAGGCGCCCAGCGCTTGGTATCTTGCACAAGCAACGATACTGCGGAAGAGCGCAGGCGTAGCATTGTTTCGGAACGTTCTACTCACAGCTCTCGCGGATTTGACGTCGGGAGCGTGGAGGTAGTCGAAGATCTGGATCTGGAGTTCGGCTGGCAACTGCGTGAAATTGCCCATCTTGGGCGATAGTGACTGGTAGTATTTGGCTGCTAAAAGAGTCTCGATGTGTATGGCTGAACTTGACGTGCTCACAATGAGAAGCAGGTCTATCGATGTGTCTAAAGGAATGGTGGTTGGGCTGAAGGAGTAAGGCTGAATGTGTTTGCTACCGAGTGAAGTAGGTGCATGTGGGCAGGCTAGGCTGCAGCTGCAGGGCGAGGACCAGAGTGGGGTCACCAATGAGAGGGCGCATGACGGCATGCTGCACATGGAATTTGTTCGCGATAGCCATTGCAAACGATGCTGTATTGATCACAGCGGACTTTGAAAAGTGAACGTCAGGGATTGATTGTTGCCCATCAATTGGGCAAAGTCACATGTCGCAGTTTCGAAAGTGTCGTAGAACATTGTTCATTGTTTCCTCAACTTGCTGAGTGCAGCCATGACGCCCTCGCTCATGTTCTCCTCTTCTGCCTGCTTCCGCTTCACTGGTTTTGGAGCAGTGGGTTGAGTCTCATTGCCTCGTGGGACTGCACCCAACTCTGCCTCACGCATTGCTTCTTCATCGTCCTGGTTGAGATCTTCAGCGATGCGATGATCGGGTCGTTTGTCTGCATCCGACCCTGAAGTAGCAAAGGGAGCGGATCTCTCCAGCTCCAGTGCAAGAGGCCCGGCATCGTCCACCCTGCGATGTGCTGTATCATCAGCATCCGCTGTCGGCGGCATCTGGCTTTCGCCTTCTGCCATGGAGATGTCGCGTGACATGGTCGCTGCACCGCTGTCTTGACCGACGGTTCGTCGCGCTGCCTTCTTGACCCGAAAGGGCTCCCTGACGGCGTTGCACCATCGTTGAACCTTCTTGTCACCCCACCCTGCTATTAGGCCAATTTCCTCAGGCCCAGCGTTGATTGCAGTGCGGATGCTTCCAAAATTAGAGACTAAGCCTACTGCATCTGTCTTGTTGATGCTGCGTGGTACGGTGATGAATTCGACCATCTTCTCTGAATAAGTGCCTGCTTGCTGAGCGCGAATGCTGGTCGGTGCAGCGTTCTCGAATGTCTTGAAAAGTTCCAGATAGCGACCGGCTTCCGGTGCGCTCCAACATAGCATGACTGTGACGTTGTTGACTAATGACGTCTTGGATAGCTCCCTCAGTGGATCTTCATGGTTTTCAATGTCGACCATGGTAAGGAGAATGCGCAGGCTGTACTGGCCCTTCAAGTCTCGGATGCGGTTGTAGATATACTCGGGATGCAGACGGTGGTACTTGAGCGACAGGAAGAGGGCACATGTTGTGGCACCGACGACATAGTCGGCGGGAATGTCAGAGTACTCCCATGCGACGGAGCGCACGCTGTTGAGGATGGGGTTGCCTTTCTGTCGCGGCGAGACCAGGATGGCGCTGGGGCCGGATCGCGATGGCAGAGCTTGGGGTTTCGGCTGCTGGATCTTGGGCGCATTGCTCGGCGCGGGTGGATTCGATGCCTCGGGGCGCGCAGTCGGCGCTGCACCAGGTGAGGCGGCCGCAGCAGAGGCACCGGCGCGCGGCCTATTGTCATCCATACCGACCAAAGAATGGCGGTGCAGGCATTGAAGAGCGGGCGAGCCTTTGTTGTCTGTTGTCTTGTTGTTGCAGCGTCGATGAATGGTTGACACGCCCTAACACGAAAGGCGGTTTTAGATGGCGGACCATGGGCCCCGGCACGTCACGTGAGCAGTTGAGACAGCGCTGAGCCCAAACCGCCGGTCAACCCCATCATCTCCTTCACATCTTCGCACCCTCAGCCGCCCACAACCCTCCTGCGCATCCCGCCACGCCCACGCCCCGCCCCATCGCCCGCAGCCCATCGTCGCCAGCGCCGCCGTCCGCTCTCTTCGCATGCGCACCATCGAGTAGCGCGCCCACCTTGCTGCCGCGGTCGACCCGCGCGGAGGACGCCAAGCGCTTCAGTACGAGCCCTCCTCTCACCCACCGCTGAACGCTCCACGCACGCCGACGAGCTCTCCCCTCTCGCTCAACCCCCGAAGACGGCCTCTATGTCGGATCACAGCGCGAAACGGCAACGTTTGGACTCGATAGGAAGATTCTCACCCGCCAGCCCGCCCTTTGACGTCGCTGCCAAGGCGAGCGGCCAGACGACAAAGACGCTCATTCACCCTCGAACGCCCACCTCGCCACCCTACTCGATGAATTCGCAATCCAATGGAGGCTTCCCCACGACAAACTCCGCCGTGTCGGACCGCTCACCGCAATCCTCCCTGCCCATGTCCAACTCGCTCTCCCAGTCGGCAACATCGGCATCCAACCAGCACCCCTTCCCGACTCCCGCGAGCACTGCCGGCTTCATGTCGAGCGCCAATATCGACAGCGATGGCGATGCGACGATGGAAGAGAGCGCAGACGATGACATGACGCGGTTGCGTCACCACAGGCTGTCCAACCACAACCGGCAAGCCGAATCGCCATACACCGAAGACGGCCGACTCAAAGCTGCCCAAGGCATTTGCGGCAGTCAATTGTTCAAACTCAGCAGCGAGAAGATAGAGATAGCACGGCCGCAACCCTCGCAAAATTTCATCTCACTCTACAGGCTCAACCCGCTCGCCAGCACTGTAGCCCGCAATGACCCGGTAACAGGCGAGAAGATTAACAAGCTTCGCAAGTCCTACGAGGGCCATATCAAGCAGATGCAGATCGCCGGCAAGCCAAAAGCGATTAAGATGGACGGCGTTTTCCGGGATCTGCTGCTAATGCCCGAAGAGATTTGGCAGTCGCAACATGTGCAGAACAGAGAGCCCGAGAAGCAGGGGCTGACAGCAGACGGCACAGCATTGAGTTCAAACCTCAGCAGACTTCTCGACGACGCCTTCGCAGGCACAGCTCCTGGACCTCTCCCTAACGCAGAAGCTGCCAAATACAAGGCCTATCTCGGCACAGACGATGCCGTAAAACCCAAACCACAGGAAATACCACCACAGCGAGCCACACCCTTCACATCCTCCGCACCAACACCGACCAACCATATGAACCGGGGTGCAGTAAGGCCAGAGCGATCAAGCTCGAAGCGCGGCTACACCGATGCCGCATTCCAAGGCTACGGCGAGGGCTTTGGAGACGACTATGCAGACTCCACCGGAGGCGAAGACACACCCGGCGGGAACATGGCGAACAAGCGACGAAAGCTCCAATTTGAACGAACATCACACTCGGTCGAAGTAGGCGGCGCACGACGATAGCGACGTCAGATTTTCCTTTCGCACATATCAACTTAGCAGCATCGGGGTTACGGATCTCTCTCCACAATCGGCGTTTAACGGAAAAATCGGTTCACGAAAGCAACGGCGACATTGAGCTCGACTGGACATGCTTCTCCACACCAACCCTCACTCACACACACACCAAACTATTCTTTATTGGCATAATGCGCGGCAGGAGTGAAGCGAGCGAGCGATCGATCGAGCGAATTGGGATATGACGACCACGACATTCCTATACCTCTCCTATATATACGAGGAACCAGATTGGGGCGCCCAGGACGTTTTGAGTTTGTGTCTTTTTGTTTGTGTGTGTCTGCGCGCGCGCGCGAGTTCTGTCTCTCGAAGAAAGAAGGGGAGTCCTTTTTATTTTCCACTACAAATCTTTCGAAGTGTGCATATTTGGGCAGGCAGATCCCTCATGATACCCTTAGGATACCACGCAGCATATGTGGATACCTATATAAAACGAATCGAATCGTAAAGTATAAACATGTTGCGACTTTGCGTGGTGATGTGTTATATTCGATTGTATGTCCAGTTTACTAAGAAGGTACTGATCCATGCCTTACACTCATTCCATCTTCTCTGAGAGCTCCGTGGTGAAGCGATCATGTAGTTCAACAACGACATTAGCATCAACACCCCGAAGAATGCAGCCCACGGGTACTTCGCTGTGACGAAATCCATGCTGAAGAATGCTGTTGTGAAAAGTAAAGGGAAGGCGACGTACTATGAGGGTCACGATTAGCTCTTGGTGAAGCTGTGTAAGAGCGATGGATCGGTATGGGGTGACTTACAACGGTCATCTTGGTGAGCATCCTTAGGTCGTCGCCTTGGTTTACTGCGGTCTTTGCTTGGAGATTTCCTGTCTCTGTTTGGCTGAGGCTGGAGACAGTGTGGAGCTGTATAGCATTAGATATATGCCATGAACAGTGGGGTTGAACTTACGCTATCGAGTTTGAACTTGAAGCGGTCTCGCTTCGTAAGAAGTATTTTGCGTAGTCGATCTAGCTCTGCAACGTTTCGTATGATGCTATTGATATACTTTGGCCACAGCGACTTTTCGGATATGTTGGTGTTGAAGAGCGACAGCTCAGTGCGACGGAAAGTATCCCAAGCGTCGACTATACCGCCGATGTTGTCAATAAACACTTGTGTTGTTTCGATAACGTCACTTATGGTCCTTGTATTTGTTCTTTTGTTGTCGTCTTCGAAAACGCGTCGGATAGTTTGTGCCTTCAAGTGTCTTTAGAGATGTCTTTTGCAGTGCATCAATTCGACTTACGTATTCATCCATTCTCATGTTGAAAGTCTCGATGAGTGCACTGTACTCCGTGACTACCTGTTCAGTCCGAAACCAGAGCTTCACTAGAAAGTACTCTCTCGGATCAAAGCCCAGAGCAGTCACCGAATATCTGCCACCACACGCAGGATCGAATCCATCGCCTTCCTGACATCCAGCGAAATAGGTCTTGTGCTCTTCCTCGGAGCCGAAGTAGGTGTCTACCAGACATAGCTCCGTCCAAAACCACTCATCAGCACCCCAGGAAAGTGATGAAGTCTGAGCTTCGTGGTAATAAAGATCTTCCTTGTCACTGGAATGATATCTAAGTGGCAGAGGCTCGGTCTTACGGAGGCGTTTGCCCCCTGTCAGTCTTGGATCTTCAGTGCCCGCAAGCGGCCCGCGGCGCATTGCATGGTATGGTATATGTATTTCGAAGAAGAAGCCCCAAGTCTTGAACAGTTAGTAAACAGAAAATATGGTCAGATAAGCTTACCGTAGTCGCGCTGAAAATAACTTCCCGTTTTAGATATCTATGTAGGAAAGCCCGGAGTGTGACAGCTGATCGCTCCGCGACTGTTGCCGCTAAACCCACGGCTGCCGCTGATGTGAGATTTGGTATGAAGCTGGGAAGATTAACATGCGTGATTGCACTGAGGTCTATCTTTCGAGTTGGCAACCGTACATTATCCGCTTCTCAGCCTTGTATGTCCTTCTCTAGCATAGAATAAGCCACCGTCCATACTTTATTAGAGCGAGGGTTAATTTACCTTTTCTTGCAACCGAGCACAAAGTTCAGGAATGCTGACTGATCTCGAGTAAATTACACAATCGTCACAGTGCTTTGTTGGCATCTTTTTGACGCATCCTTCGTGGTTTTGCCGGTCGTCTACAAGCGCGATGTGATCGTCCTTGCTGTATCTTTCTACGTCCTGCAAATAATGACCTATTCCACGTGGAAAGGCTGGAATGACTTCGATCAAAAAGTCTTTTAGGACTTGCCGTCGACGTGGTACCGATTCGTCTATTCGAATCTTCAGTTCTTCGTAAACTAGGAATCTCTCGATTATCTGGGCGCTCGTTTGGCCTGGAGTGCACAGCCTGACATCGTCTTCGGGCAGGTGTGTTGGTTCCCGTCGATCCGTAAACTTCTTCCATGGACTATGCGGTTGGTAGATGCCATGCTCCATGCGTTTTCGTTTGAGTAATGAGTTGGGAATGTTCGGACAGTAGCCACCATGAAGCGACGGGGAAGGCGGCTTACATCTAACGGAGCACTTTGCTATCATCGCAGATAGCGGGGCGACCTACGAGGCTGAACATCTCGGGATACCATAGGTCTAAACGTCAGCACAGGCGGGCTATGTGCATGCATTTAGGTAGGCGGCATGTCATGTTCATGTCCAGGTGTTGATTGATTGGCGCGCTTACCCGATGAGTCTACGCGCTTGTAGAGTCAGCAGGTAGGGAACCTGAGGCCTCACGCATACCGTCCACCACCAACAACAACATTTACGGCCTTTCGGCTTCGAACATGCCGAGAGGGCATCACAATGCCTACTGCTGCCCTTTGTCGTGCGGGGTAAGTTCCAAATAACGAAGTGCCTATGATGCGGGCTGACCTGTACTACAGCGGACGGACCATATCTCCAAATCCCATCTTCACGACACGCAGAATTGGAATCCATCAAATCGAACAATGGAGGAAACTGTCTGCTTTCCCAAAGCTTGCTACCCTGGTGTTCGAAAACGTGGAGAGCTAGTGTGGTATTGTGTAAGTCGACGACCACGTACGCTTTGTCGAATCCTTGCTGACTATTGAAGAGTGATTGTTACGACGGACCAATACCATATTGGCAATCCATCTGTACCTGTTGTAGCCATGAGAAGTGCAATTTATGTAGAGTTGAAGACACAGACTAGTAGGGTTTCAACGATGAGTTTGCTATCGCGGAAAGGCGTAGGGTCACAAAGATGATCAGCGACTCAGAGACCGAGGCACCTATGGAGTACTGCTTTCGGTCTAATACAGTTTGTAGCATCCATGTACGCCAGCGGAGCTTTACATGATGTTCTTCAACGTTGCCGATCTTATTGTACATACCTCAACCTGACTCTATGACGACTTCTCTTCCTCAACAGGACCCTTCTCCTTCTCCTCCATATCCATTCGCCTTCCCTCAACAGTAAAGTACAAACTCTTGCTCGCGCCCTCCAAAGCACCAGTAAGACTTCCACCAACACCCTGCAGCATATGCACAAGCTGAGCGCGGAGACCGTCGATACCTCCAGCAATGCCACCAACCCACTTTGTGCCGTCCACATCGAAGACCTTGCCCTCTAACCGCGCACCCAAAAGCATCAGCTTCTGGAGACCAGCTTGAACGGCTGGTTCGTAGTAGTCTGGGTTCGCTTTTCGGCTTGGAGCGGGGAATCCGGGCTTCGAAGGCGAGAGGATGGACAGGACGGTCTTGAGGTATTGCGGCGCAACGTCAGGGAACGCTACAATAGCAAGGGGACCCGAGAGCAGAGGCTCCAGTTCCAACTTCAACTTCCTGTTATTCGCAATTTCATATGCCCGTCTCGACAGACCGTGTGTGAAGCGCTCGTCCTCAGCGTCATTACTCGTCTGCGGTATCTGCGCGCTCGTCGGTGTCCGCGGGTCCGTAGGATGTTGCGCATGATCCATTGTCGAAGTTTCCGGGTTGAAGAACTCGACGACGCGCAGTGCGCTTGCGAAGATGTTGGTCTGGATGACCTGCATCTTAACCTCCTCTGCAAGCGTCTCTTGCCCGTTCTTCACTCTCTCGGCATCCAGCTTGCGGAGGGCAATGGCTAGCTCCCGTCTTATGCTCATCCATTCTACCGCTTTCACATTGTTGTGCTGGAATATCAAGATCAGAGGCGAGGATCGGAGCAGCGATTGGTATTGCCGGTGGAGTTGGGTTTTGCGGACCTCCGGTGGCTTGTGAGAGGGTGGTTGCGTGGGTGGGTATCGTAGTACTGGCGGTGCGGCTTTGTATGTCTGCTGGATTGGAGGTGCGGGGGTGGTCGCTGCTACTGTGGCGTAGGTTGCGATTGCGGGTAGAGAGATGGGGTGGGTTGGGTTCGAGGTGCAGGCGCGGAGGGCGCGTGGCCTGATGCGTATCCGTGGAGGCATTCTAGATGTCGGTTAGCACTTTCTGAAGAGACACAGTCTCAGTATAATAGTTGGTATGCTTACGTGAGATGTGGTCGTGGAGCAATTGAGAGATGGGTTCGATCTCCAAATATTTCCATGCGCTTTGAGATTCGAAGTGGTCTGTGCTCGTCATGTTGGAGGCAGATCTCCCGCTGTCGTCCACCATTTACGGAACATGCAACATTTCCACACTCTCTTTTCCGTCTTGAAACCTACAGTGTGACTCCAAGCTTCCTGTTTGAAGTTGATCATATATCATCATTGTGGTGCGCGCATGGCGGCGTATATTCGTAGAGCTGCATGGCAATCGCGATCACAGCGAACACCAATACAAGGCTTTCGACATGCTAGATTTATAGGTGTAAGTCGTTCCCAATCAAGTTCCATGTTCTTGGTGATAAGGCTGATGTTCGAGTTAGACCGACTCAAGAAATCGATTATCCAAATTCTGGGCACCAACGGGTGGTATATCACCCCACGACAGCGAGCAAGGTGAGGATCATGAGAGCGACTAGCACTCGTTGACTAACGACTCTTCAGATGAGTCCCACTCTCTTCTCGTTAGAGGTGGCTTTCTCCGTCAGGTATACATCTACAACCTCTTGACTTCTAGCACTTGTCTCATCATGCGCAGGCACATTCAGGAGTCTTTCATCTCCTACCCCTAGGTTTACGCGTTCAAAATAAGCTTGAATCGCTAATCGACAAGCACATGAGCTCGATTGGTGCTTCGAAACTTTCGCTCTCTTCCATCACCACGGAATCGTTATGGCGGCAGTCCGGTCGCTACTCCGCAAACTCTGAACTCCTGCGCATCAAAGACCGAAGAGAATCTGGCTTCTTACTATCGCCAACTCATGAGGAAGAGATCACCGCACTTGTAGCCAGTATGGTACATTCATATAAGGATCTGCCACAGAGGCTGTATCAGATCGGACGCAAATACCGCGACGAACGAAGACCAAGACAAGGGCTATTGCGGGCCAAGGAATTCATGATGAAAGATCTCTACACATTCGATCACTCAACAGAAGCCGCGCTCAAGACTTACGAAGAAGTACGGGAAGCATACAACAATCTGTTCAACGAGCTCAGACTGCCGTACCTAGTCGCCGATGCCGATTCTGGTAACATGGGAGGCAAACTGAGCCACGAGTATCATTTTGTATCTCCAAAGGGCGAGGACAACGTGTGGTCTTGCAACTCATGCGACTACGTCGCCAACGAAGAGCTTGTGGAAAAGAGCGGCCAAGCTGTAGCGTCACGTACCGACAGCTGGTTGGCGTACACAGGTATAAGCGTCGACAAGAAGACAAAGATCAATGTGTGGATACCACGTCCATCCGAAACTGAGACGGATGTAAGACAGAGACATGAGCATGTCAATCTTCATGCTGTCAAGAAAGCCCTTCCAGAGGAGATCGAGCTGGACACCGGCATCGAATCCTCATCACTCGCTTCTCTGCTCCGAAAGAAAACAGATACCATCGACCTCTTCGACCCCTCCCTTGTCTTCGATAAGAATGATAGGTCTCTCTCAAATCCTCTGTCTTCCAAACTAAATCTCACGCCTGTCGAAACTGGCGATCCATGTCCTCGGTGTTCCACTGGCAAACTCGACGTCCAGAAAGCCATCGAAGTAGGCCACACCTTCCACCTCGGCACCCGCTACAGCAAGCCCCTCAACGCAGTCGTCGCACTACCAGACCAGAACCTCTCCTCTCCAATACAAATGGGCTGCCATGGTATCGGCGTTTCGCGCATCATCGGAGCTGTCGCATCACTGCTCTCAGACGCTGAAGGGCTGAACTGGCCCAGGGCGATAGCACCCTATGAAGCCGTCATCCTCACATCTCCAAAGGTCGATGAGAGCGACGCGGCAGAAGTGTACGACGCGATCTATGGTGAAGGTCGGTATGGAGATGTGGATCTAGTGTTGGATGATCGAGTAGCAAAGAGCTTAGGGTGGAAGTTGAAGGATGCAGAATTGATTGGATATCCTGTCGTCGTTGTGTTAGGCAGAGGCTGGACAGACAGGAGAGAATTAGAGGTGCAATGCCGGAGATTGGGGTTCAAGAAGGATGTTGGTTTGGGTGAACTCAGGCAAGAGGTCTTGGGATTGCTGGATCAGTTGTAGTATACCTGTACAAGTAGGGCTTATCTGATTTCACGACAGGGCTGCGCGAAACGACATGATCGTCGTTGCACAAAAGCCTAGGTGCAGATCATATCGATGCTATAAATACATGCTTCAGCCCATGTAGATCTTGGAAGATCTCGTTCGTTCTACTGTTGTTCCAGAATATGCAGCTAAGGCATGCTGATGCATCCAAAACACCGCGCTAGTACGTCAGCTCTGTACCCCGAGCGCCTACATCTACGCCTTATTGACAGATCACTTCAAATTACTCCTACAGTATCCTGCGTACGGCATATTCTCTCCACCGCACGTCGAGCGCCATCTCATTGTAACCAACCGCGATGAACGAGTCTTCCATCCCCATCGTGCCCATCCTACAAGCAATCGCAACCATCGCGCCAGCCATATACACAGGTACATTGATGTCAAAACCATGCAAATAAGCCCGCTAATAGTTGAATCTGTCAGGCTTCACTTTCGCATACAGTCATGTCGTCATGCCACCCCTCATCACGCACGCCCCACCAAAACTCCTAGCAAAGCAATGGCTTCAAGCCTACCAATTCGCACCTATTTTCGTCGCGCCTCTCATCTTATCCGGCGCTTCAAGTAACATTCTCCTCGCCTACCTTTGCAATGATCAATCTTCTTCCGCAAGGCTCCTGTACGCTGTTGCAGGACTTGTAAATGCTAGTATCATCCCGTACACAGCCCTGTACATGGAGCCAGGAGTGAATGGCGCGGGAAAGTGGAAGGCTCAAGAGATATTGCGCGATGAGGGAGTTGTTTTGAAAGGTGTTGGGCAGGGTACAGATAAAGATACGGCGAGTGAAGCCGCGAAGAAGTGGGCTGAGAAGGTGGACATGAAGACTATTGCTGAGACTTGGGCAAGGACTAATGCGTGGCGTTATGTGATCACCGCGGTTGCTACTGTAATCAGTGCAACGGCTACGGTTATGCGGCGCTAGGATAACTCGTTTATGGTATCTTGTTTCAATTCATTCTATCAACTCCATGCCTCATCACAACCTCCGCATCAATAACCCCAAGCACTCACCCGATACTTCTCCACCGCCTCCAACGCCTCATCCTTCCTATACTCCCTCCCCGGCCACCCAAACCTGCGATAAATCCTCTTGCATACCTTCACATGCTCCTCGTCATGTTCATCCAAAGACTCATCGGCAGTCTCAGGCACCGACCCATTATCCTCCACCTCAGACACGCCCTCGTAGAACTCGCCTCTTACGGGTACGCAATCCAGCCTTCTGAGCTTGTCCTTCATATCGTCGAAGAAGTCTTCTATCCATACGCCAGAGACGATGTTGCAGCGAACTATGTCTTCGTGGATGATGCCTTTGTGTACGTCGAGGAGGAGGATCCGTCCGCCGGATTCGTAGCCCATGGATAGGAGGAGGATGTCTTTTATGTCGACGGAGTCGGGGTCGTCGCCGAAGTCTTCTTCTTCGTCGGAACTGTAACCTTCGTCATGCGGTGCGTTCTCGTCGTCGCTATTGATTTCTTCGTCTTCGTTTTCCTCTTCATCCTCGTTGGTGCTGTTCTGTTCATCTTCATTCGTGTCGTTGTTCTCCTCTTCACCCTCCTCGTTATCCTGCTCCTGCTGCTCTTCATCTTCCCTTCTCCGCTCCTCCATCTCTTCAATGCAAACTTTGAGCCCGTCTTCTCCATACGATACATTGTATTTCTCAAAGTCTTGTTTCGTGTATGTGGAATAATCTACCACGTCGCTCTTGTAGTGAATGTTCGTGATCATCTCGCCTGACTCGGCCTCATCGATGTATGGTAAATGCTTCATGACCTCAATGACAACATGCGATTTGTCCAGACACTTTGTCGCCTCCGCAGTAATGTTCGGCCAACCACCCAGAGGCGGATGTTTCAAAGCTGAACATGGTATGTAGAGAGTGGTCAAAAAGGTGTAATAGTCGTTCATTATGGCGGCTAATTGGGTGGGTGGAAGTCGTGGGCGCTTGTGGGATGCCATATTGAAATCGACTTGTGCAAACTCCTTGCGGCGAGGGTTGAAGCGAGGAACATGGTACTTTAGTAGACGTCTCGCTGTGCCGCTGGTAGAGACAAGGTTAGTACATTCGAGGTTGCCGCCTAATGCACAGACGCGATGCCAACTTAACCGACGACAACAACTCGTATTGATACTTGGCGACATGTTCAGTAGCTCACTAATCGTTAATTTCCTGTGAAATTGGTCAAGATAGATGCCTTTGCCAAGCTGCAAGACCTCAAAAGCAGACGTCAATGGCTCTGGAAGCGGGTAAATGCAGATTCGCATTCTGTATCTCGATATTGCGACAAATATGTTACACGTACTCTTCCAGGCATGGATATGCAGCTGTAAAGGCATGTCTCGCTGAGTTATCATACATTCGGACTATATTGTACACATGCATCGACGCATATCCGGTAATAGACAAGCAGCTGGCGTACCTGTAGCCAGGAGCAAAAGCAATCATGGATGTTGTGATCGACGACGCGTGGCTCGTTTGGGACGTTTGGGATATATTGTCCTTGCAGACGGAGCGGGCGATTCCTCTAGCTCTTTGGAAGATTCCGAAGACTGCATGTCAGATTCCTCATGAGGTTTCGGTTGAGGGGCGTCGGACGCTTCTGAATCATTTTGCGTGATGGTAGACATGAACCTGTCCGTGTCCGATTCGAAAAATTCGTTTGGAGCAGATGGCTTCTCCGCCTGGCCATCCGCAGCAGAACGGCGTGCACGAGTTGTGCGTCCGCTGTGCTGCTCTGATGTTGACGCATCTGCGGTATCGACCGTTTGCCATACGGTGTTATGCGAGTTCAGGATATCTCTTTCTAGTGATTCAACATCCTTGGTGCGCACTTGTATGTTCTTTTCATCTTCCATCTCTGTGGTGGCTGCGTCTGCAAGATGGGATTCCTTCGGCGAGTCTGAGCGTCTTTGGGCTGGCTTATCGTTGTTCATACCAGTCTCTAGTAGAGGCTCTGCTTTCTCTAGTACAGTGTCTACTATCTCCAGTGCAGGATCTGTCTCTTGTGGTGTAGGATTTGCTTTCGTTGCCGTCGCAGCTTTCGGTTCTGGTGAAACACTCACCGGTGCCTGTGTTGTCTCTCGACTAGGTTTGATTGGAACCTTTGAATTGGTCTTGCGATATGTCTTCTCCTGTTTTTCTCCCCAGCTGTGGCCTCGAAGCCTTGCTGACAGGCGGAGAAGCCTAATCGTTTCTTTCGTTTCGTTTTTTACTAAACCAGCATTTACCTGGTACCGTACCATTCGCTTCAACCTATGCGCAAACGTTCCCTCAAAGTCTCTCTCCTCGCTAATTCTGATGCTGTCGGCGCATTTTCGTACCGCCATGTCCCATGCTATTCTCATGATGCGTTTTTCACTGCTTTTCAAGCCCTCAGATGATTCTATTTCTGCTGGAAACTTCATCGATGCGACAAACTCATCTGCTTCTTCCTCCGGCGATAGTTTGGTGCCTAGGGTGACTACCTTGTCCTGGTTCTCGACGTGAGATACTGGCAAATCTTGGCGTTTAGAGACTGTTTTCTTGTCATCGTGTTCCAAGACATCATTTGATAGGTAGCCTTCTTTCGATAGCTTGTTGGCAGCTACGACCGCGCGTCGTTGCAGTTTTGAATCTGATCCCTGATTGGCATTCTGCGATGGTGCTTTTCCCTTCGAGGCTGGACTTTGGCGTTGCGCGTCTTGTCTAGCAAGTCGGCCCAGATCCTTTGCGTCACTCGGGTGACCATTCGTGCGATATTCGATCACGGAATCGGCTAGATTTTTCGAGGCCTCCGCATGTGTGAGCGCAACGCTGCTCTTCTTCTTAGTTTGAGGCTGAACTGTTCCCGAGTGTCCATCGTGTATTTGACTTTTGGTGGACATATTGTCTTCTTGCGCCTCCTCTCTAGGCTGATCTGCCACCTGTTTTTCCGCCAGTTTTGCTGCTTCTTTCGCTGCCAGTGCTGCATCATGCTCCAGCTGGGCTTTTTTAGTGTACGCAGCTTGGTTCCTCATATAATCAGAGTACTGCAGCGCCGCAAGCCTTTTATTGTCCAGACGATCCTGGGCCGTAATCTGCTCTTCTAATCCCTTGTGACGATCGAGCTTGATTCCGGTGATAACTTCCTTGACGGTTTCGATGTTGTTCCCAGAGTCCAAGTAGATAGCACCAAGAACAGCTTCGAAGGCCTCGGCAACATGATTAAATGTGTAGGGGTGCCGATCGTGAAGAAGCAGATTGTCGTTTATACCGAGCGCGTATCCTTTCTTACCCAAACCAACTCTGCTTTCTATATCCGGCTGCATCGAAGTGTATTCCGCTATTCGCTGTATTAGCTTAAGCACCAGAGCTATATGCAGTACATACCATTGGTATTTCCTGTCTTGAACCAAACATCGCATAGAGCTAAAGAGATAACTCGATCACCTAGCAATGCCAGGCGGTTGTTTTTGTCTATGTGATGAATGACTCCATTGAAATAAAGCGGTGTAGTCGCCGAAGTGGTCTTGAGCGCTTCGATACAAATCATCTTGTCTTTGAACTTGTAGCCCATGATCCCTTCAATACGGCCCACTCTCGCTGCAGCGTCAAGCAGATCATGATAGGCGTACGGTGGGGGCATATGCCAATGCAACCGCTGGGCCTCAAGCGCCAGGTAAACTTGATCTCTCCGATCAAAAAGGTCGGGTATACGAGCTTTTCGACCAAAATGTTCAGGTAGCGGGCTGCGTCCCCCCGATAATAACCTTCCAATTTTCTGCATGTTTTCTGGCCGACGATCGTAGCCTACGAAAACCCTCAGATGGTTTGTGAATGTGTCGGGGCGGCCAAAGAGCTTTAGAGTTAGATGATGACGAAAACGCCTCAATCCCAGGAAAGGTTTCCGCGGCATCATGACAGAAGCACGCAGCCTATACTACGGAACGACTGGAGTATGTCAGCAAAGTGCTCTGTTTGGTACGCGACATCCTGATTGGACCACAGGACACGCGCCACACGGTGCGTACCGGCGCAAAGTCAACATATAAACGAACGGCCCATGACCAATCGCCTGGAATTGGGAGTTTGGGGAGAGATACGCTCAATGTAGGTGAGCTCGGCACTTGATTCTGATGATATCGATGGAAGGAGTAGCGGAAATTAAGCAAGGGTCCATCGGCGCTGGGGACGAAAATCTTTAGTGCATGACCGCACAGACAAGGCTTGCCACCTCGACAAGTCACACATTCCCTAGGCAGCAACGGATTTCCATCAACAACTCTTGTAATTGCAGCAGAAAGCATCGATCGCAAACGAAGCCCCGACAAATAAAACACGTGAATTGTAACATTGTAGGCAGTCGCATAGTCGATGTAGAGGTGGCTACTTTCAGCGTCCCGATGCACCGACGCCACCGTTCACCAAATCAGGACTATCCGAACTGTTATGCGAATAACTCTTTTCCGATGCAGTAGAGACGCGCATTTTGTTGATCAACGTAATTAAGTTCTCGGAAAATCCTCGCTGGAGCCATGTAGGAGCCAGCCTCCGTCTCATTCACACACAGCCAGCAATCACGACAGCGAAAGGATTGTCAGGACCCAACTCAACACAACTCAACGTCTGCTCTGCCAATCTACCTATCCCGAAAAATCCAGAAGAGCGCAGCTGTAACGACGATGGCTACAGACACGCTCAATGCCCTAACGTTCGCCATGTCAGAACGGGCTGGAATAGACGCAGTAGTAGTAGTAAAGTTCGCCACATTGCGCAATGCTTCAGAATGACTGTTACAGCGGATCCTGCTCTTCAGGCTCTTTTCTCGATCGAGTCGTTCACGGCGGTAACATCGATGGGGTATGACAGGCTTCTTAGGTACCCCGTCGCCAACACGCATCGTGAAGCGGGTGTGTCCTTTGGGCATTGTTGACTGTTGAGTAGTCACCACTTCTGCAACGAGTGCGGCCGCCGATGTCTTATGTTGAAGGTAATTGGCTAGCGAACGCAGTAGATATATCATAGGAGATATTTTGGAGTTGAGGCGACGAGGGGAAAACAGATTGACAACGTGGCCCATAATATGTATTGAAGGTTAGTTCATGTCCTTCGTTGCGCATGAGACAACCGGTCACAACTGCGCTATGTTGGGTTACACATGTGGTATGGCCCATTCCTACAGTCATGTATCTGTACAATATCAAGCATTAGCGCAGACAAGTTCGACCAAAGACAGCTGTCAAGTCGGGAATTATCCATGTCATCGCACCTTATTACCATACTAATCGCGACATCGTCGCACAGAATTTGGAAAGAATTGTTATGAGAAGAAGAATTATTCCGTTGCCGAGCCTCCTGGCCAGGCAAATTCATATCACCAAGCCACACCCCTCTATCTAAACTAGCACCCTCTCCTCCACCTATATCTTCGCGGGCCGTACACTCTGCGGATTGTGAAACACATCCAACGGATCAACATCCGCCTTAATCCGCTCCAACCTCTCAACATTACCACCCCAATACAGACTCGCGCTGTTCTCACCCAGTGCAGGATCTAAGAGGTGGGCGTACGAAGTCAGTATATGTCTCACATGCACTTCGTATAGCCAGAACTTACCCACATATCCTGCATACGCTCCCTGGTTGTGGTTGGGCAGCGCATCGAGAACGACGTTGTTCAAGCCGTTGAGAAAATTGCGAGTCTTGTCGCTGACCTGTGGTGATGTAAGTACGCTTGCTAGACTGTTTGAGATGAGATGGGGACTGACCTTGCCAAAGAGATTAACAGCATAAGCCTGGTGGTAGAACAACGCGTCACGATGACCGTAGGCTGTAGCATCAGGCGCAACGTCGTTGATAGCGCCGCCCTCAAGGTCCCAGATGATGAACCACAGTGCACCGCCTTTGTCTGCTTCGTCGATGTACTTGAACAACTTGTCGATGGTCTCGTCGGGTATGATATCTTTTTCCGTGTACGAAAGGGATTTCGCGTAGAAGTTGGATGGTATTCCGCCAACAATCTCTAAAGCGATGTCTTCGCTCCAGTGGCCTACTACACCGAGCCAGTCTTTTAGTTCTATCGATTCCAGAGCCGAACCGGTTGGGAGACGAGATGTGATGTTCAGACTGTCGAACTCGGCTTGGCTGCCGAAGAAGGTGCCTGTGATGATGGCGCCGAGCTGTTCGGTGAGGATGTACTGGCTCGCGAACTTCCTGGAAAGGGCCGGGTCCGATATGAGCTTCTGCCACTGCTTGAACGCTTCAGCCTTTGATGCAGACGAGCCGCCGTGGAAGTTGTAAGAGTAGAGGACTGCTTCGCCGGGCTCGGCCTGCGTGCGCATCTTGAACTCTGTGACTATGCCGAAACCGGCTGCAGCGCCTTTTGTCGCGAAAAAGATATCTTGGTTTTGCTTCTCGGAAGCACGCACTACTGTCGAATTCGCCAAGACTACTTCCACCTCTTCTACGTGATCGAGAGTGGAGCCCCACATGCGTGAAGTCGGTCCCAGGCCACCTATCGTTGCATGACCTCCGATTCCGACTTGTGGGCAGGTTCCATGGGCTATGGCGCGTTTACCGTTGTCGTGGAGTCGCTCAGTGACGTCGCGGAGGAGCGTACCGCCACCGATTGTGGCCTGCCAGGTGGATTTGTCCATGGAGAATTGCTGGAAGTTCTTCATGTCGACTACAATGGTGTTGTCTTGACCTCCGATACCGTAGTTGGCGTATGAATGTCCACCGCATCTTGGCTGAACTTTGAGGCTATTATCGACTGCGCATTTAACGATCGCGGAGACCTCATCGGCCGTCTTGGGGTAGGTAACCGCCGCTGGTGTCACCGGAACACCGAGGTTGTAGGGCTTGACGTGTGAGATCTGGTAGAGTGGTGTGTTCTTGAAGGCGACATGATCCTTTCCGATAGCTTGCTCCAGACACTGCTGGACGGCGGAACTTTGTTGGTTTCCCATCGTTCAGTGGGAGGCGCTCTGGTCAGAGGAGCTGCTGCTGGCAGAACTGGACTCCGGTTCGAATGTTAACAAAGCGAGTGTTTGCCAGGTGAGCACTTGTACATAAATGTGAATGATTTAAGCCACCACTCTCACCTGCTCCATAGCTAGGCCGCTAACGGAACCTTACGAAATGAAAATAATGAATGAAGCGAGAGTCGGTCGAGAAGGAAATTTCCTAGACAGATGGCCAAGTGCCTAGATATTTCAAGAGAACTGCTGACATAGAGTGTGGATCACAAGTGCTCATCGTTGCGCTGCTATCGTGCAAACACCGCCCGAATCACCGAAATTGGCAAATAGGCCCGGTTGTCAAACCCCTGCTTTACTGAAAATGTGTGACCGGCGGCTTCATCCGTGCTATAATGATCACCAGTATGATCGTAATTTGTCTACGAATACTGGAGACCAGGGTTAGGTAAGGCCGTTGCGGGGGTTGAATGGCCAGCCTTACCATAGGCGTCTAACGATAACTGGGAAGGCGTAACGGCGCCAAGAAGACGTTGCATGCCCCAGCCTCAGCCTGTCGCGCGGACAAGACATGAGAGCGAATCCAGCGGTTGGTGTTGTGCCGTTATGCGACGACTGAGATGTGCGTTGTCTCTGGAAGTTGCGCAAACTTGGAAGTGGCGAATGCTCGAAGCGACCCCACCGCCTTTGACCTGTCCACGAAGTGACCAACTACTAATTCTCACCGATCAGAAAGCGATAGGGCGCCCAAAGTTATGTTTCGGTTTCAGGTGCCCCGCTGTTCTTGGCTCTCAATACCATATGCTTCTCGTGCGATGGTGTGGTATGACGTCCGCCTCCTCCTTCTCCCTCTCCTTCGCAAGATCATACAGGAAGAAGTCGATGAGAATAGCGTTGACCTTGGCGTCTGGTTTCAGCTTCAGAATCTCCTTGCGGAGAAGCTCTACAGCCCAGATACTACAACCTCGGATCTGCATCTCCCAGGAGTGGCCAGACTCGATGGTCTCAAGGCGGCGTACCTTGTTCTCGAGAGGCGGGCAGTACCAGATTATGCCTAGTGAGTGTAGCATTTGAGGGATGCGGTAATCTATAGATGCGTCAGTCAGTCGGACTATAGGTTCAGCCAGAGCCGGGATGTCTTACCTGCAAACATTGTAATCTTGTCAATGTCGTTGAACTCGCCATATCCCTCGCCATCGAACGCAGCCCACAGGTCTGCAACAAATATTTGGGCTCGCTTCAAGAAGCGCACCTTCTTGTTCTCGAATCTGCCTTCATCTCTGAAGCAGTTGAACTTTTCGGCGAGTAGATTCACAAGGCCGGCAGCGGAGTTGTTCGCGTCTTCAATAAGTGTGACGACACTACCGTCAAATTCCTGCAACGTCAGTGATAAGTCAACTTGCTCTTCTGTGTTGG